GCCAAAATTATACACCATCCGTTTCTCGAGACGAAACTGTTTCGTGCAAGAAACAACGTGATGCGTAAGTACCATAAAATTATCGTAGGGTAAAGGCACCTAATATCGTATAGCACGTAATATCGTATAGGGCATTATTTCAGCAATTAAGCGCTTCACTTTGTTAAAAATCGATGGAATTAGTTCTTCAAAGTTTGCAGAGAGACATACTTTCAGCGTCATTCGTCGAACGCGCTCAAGACGAGAAGCGTTTTTGTCGTACATAACCCCGTGAACATTTCGGAAGTGTTTAAACAAGTACGTTGAGTAAAGCCAACGTAAGTGAACAATGTGTGTACTATACAGGTAGTCATTAAGATAATATGAACAATGAAATGTAACGGTTAGTTTATTTATCTAAACGTTGTATAAGTCTCGATAAATGATTTTAAGTTATGGGACATAGGCACTTAATATCGTATAGGGTAAATGCATCTAATATCGTACAGTAGCACGTGCTGCTATCTGTTAACAGCCGACGGAATTAGTTCCCTTGTTTGGGAAATGTACTGTACTTTGGGTTTGAGAGTTGTACTTTACGTGCCACTTGTCAGATAGGTTAAGAATAAGCGAAGATAAGAATAAGCGAAGATGAGGTAAGATAAGATAAGCTAAGATAAAGCGTACAGACAAAAACGGGACATAATAACCTCGTATGCCCTTACGTAAAATTGCGGATAATCACTATTATTGACATAATCTATTATCTATTATCTATTATCTATTATCTATCAATATTACACTTACTGACATAATATAATCGGTGCTTGAAATATTGCATTTATCTATAATATATAATTTATGACCTTGGGAATATTCCATTCACTTCTACAGATGGAAAGAAACACATATTTGCAGAAGAAAAGAAAGTCTTGGCAAAAGGAAGACATGATTCAAGCTATAAGAGCTGTTCGTTCAAAAAAATGGGCTACCATCGCGCTGCTAAAATATTTAAGGTCCCAGTAATGACTCTTCAAAGCTATACAGTAAGAAGAGAACTCTCTCCAACAAAACTTGTTGCAACGTCTTTGGGAAGAAAACCAGCTTTACCTCTGGGGTTAGAAGATAAACTTGCGGCATATTGTGTTGATATCGATAAAAGGTATTTACTTTACATAATTTACTGTGAACGATTCCCATTCTGTTGTATCATCCATCTGTAAATACCATCTGTAAATACCATCTGTAAATAATCACAACTTATATGATTTTAGGTTTTTTGGCATGAGAAGAAGGGATTTGAAAACTATGGCATTTCTTTTAGCATTAAAAAATAATGTAACACATCCACTTAAAAATGAATCTGCAGGTAGAAATTGGTTGAAGGGATTTTTGAAACGTCACCCAAATTTGTCGTTGAGAACTCCTCGTGCCACTTCGTATGCAAGAGCAACAGGATTTACAAAGGAAAATGTGAAATCGTTTTTTGATATGTACGAGCCGGAATTTGAGAGGGTAAAGAGACAGCCACATAGAATTTATAATGTAGATGAGACGGGAATGTGTATCGTTCAGCACAAATCAGAGAAAATCATAACTTTGAAAGGTAAAAAAGAAGTTGCAACTATTACATCTGCAGAAAGAGGAAAATTGATAACCGTTGTGGTGTGTATGAATGCAATGGGTATGTACATTCCACCTTTAATAATATGGCCTAGAAAGAATATGAAAGAGGAACTGATGGATGGTGCTCCGGCTGGCTCTATTTGGGCCTGCCATCCATCAGGTTGGATACAAATGGATATTTTCAGCATGTGGTTTGATCATTTCATCAAGCACACTGCATCAACTGCAGATAATCCCGTTTTATTGGTACTAGATGGTCATAGTTCTCACACAAGAAATATTTTGCTACTTGAGAAAGCAAATCACGTTAGCATAATTTGCTTGCCTCCTCATTCATCTCACAAGATGCAACCTCTTGACGTTGGATTCATGAGACCGCTAAGAACTTATTATGCCTCAGAGATTGAAAGTTTTTTGAGAAATGTTAAGCAAGAAGAACGTGATCGACGAAAAGATGTAACTACATATAGAATAGCCAGATTATTCGGTGCAGCTTATTGTCGTGCAGCTACAATGGAAATTGCAATTAATTCTTTTAGAAAAACTGGCCTTTATCCCTTCAATAACAACATTTTCGAAGATTATGACTTCCCTGTTTCTACAAACGATGCCAGAGAATCTACTACTGGATGCGACAATATACCTGCTACGAACACTGGTAATCAATCTAATTTGATGCTGCTTGCTCTTCTGCAGCTTTCCAATCAAATCCAGGACCAAGTTGCGTTTTGCCAACAGATATTAAACTTTTACCTTACCTCCAACCTTCAACATCAAAACGCAAGGGAAGTGCAGTTATATTGACTTCATCACCGCATAAAAATGCCTTACGCAATTCTGTAAAAAAAAACAGAATCAGAAAGAGAGATCTGAATGTAAAGCCAAGAATGTACGCCAAAGGTTGTTAACAACAAAAACAAAAAAAGCAGAAAAGTTAATAAAAAGGAAGAAGCAGAATCATGTGACAGTGATTGTTCAGTACAAATCCGATGATGATGCTGAAGATGGCTTTAACGAAAGTGATGAGGACGATGCCGCATGTATAATTTGCAATGGACGATATAAAAATGATAGAAATGGCGAGAAATGGGTGCAATGCATCGTTTGTCATCGTTGAGCCCACGTAGAACATGGGCTTGTTGAGACATGTTCCGAATGCAAGCTCAGACCGCGCAGCAAATAATTACCTGTCAAAAGCAATTAAAAACAATTTTTTTGTTTAATTACATTAGATGTATTTTTTATGTTTAAGTGCAATAAATGTTTTTTTATGTTCTATTACAATAAATGTTTTTTGTGTTTAAGTGCAATAAATGCATTTTTACATTTAATTACAGTAAATGTATTATTTTACGTTTAATTACAATAAATGTATTTTTTAATGTTTAGTTGCAATAAATGTATCTTTTTAAATTACAATAAATGTATTTTTAATGTTTAATAGCAATAAATATATTTTTCAGTCGTAATGGCTTTCGGATGGTTGCTGCGTCCGTTTGCAGTGTGGTGCCGACGTTTCGCAGGCGTTGCAGTCTACATCATCAGGGCTGGGACCGTGATGTTAGCTGTGCCGCTTTCTGGCGCATGCGCACTGCAATAGCAGTGAAATCCAGTAACGTACATATGATGTGGGAGATGAACACCGACAGTTCTGGCGGGATTTGGGACAGTAGGAAGGTTAGGTGTGCGGGATGAAAATGTAAGTAATATATTACTATTTATGTAATTATTAATTGTGCAATATTGTGTATTATGGAGCCAAATGTTGCTAAAAAAGCCGGTAAAAAGCCATATAATAGACGATTTCAAAATAAATGGTTAAATGAAGATATTTTTAAGGAATGGTTGGCTTTCCATTCCGAAGTAAATAAAGCATTTTATATAGCATGTAATGTCAGCATTAGATGTTGTAGGACAGATTTGATAAAGCATTCACGAACGGCTAAACATATAGATAACATTAAAGGTCAAAACCTCGAAAACGTTAATAATAATGTTAACGTAGTTTCTCATGATGATAAAGTGAAACGAGCGGAAATAAAATTAGCTGCATTTTTTGCAGAACATAATATTGCTTTCCAAGTTATGGATCATTTAATACCTTTGTTAAAAGATATTTGTTTAGAGCTTGAAGTTGTACAAGATTTGTCACTGGGTCGACTTAAGTGCACAAATATTGTAAAAGATATTTTAGGCAAACGCGAAACAGAAAGATTAATTGACATTTTAAAAACGCGTAAATTTTCAATCTTAGTAGACGAAAGTACGGATATCACGGAGAAATTCATGTGCGTGCTTGTACGTTATCTTTCACCTAACGACAATAAAGTAAAAACGCAGTTGCTAGAATTATTGGCACTAGATGCCACGGATTGTAGTGCAAAAAAAATTTATGAAACATTTAAAACTTGTTTGTTAAAGAACGGAATTCCGATAACAAATATCATTGGGATGGCAAGCGATAATGCATTGGTTATGATCGGACGTAATAATTCCTTTTTTGCAAATTTAAAATCAGAAATTCCAAATTTAGTAATGTTAAATTGTATTTGTCATTCCTCCGCGCTTATTGCAAGTAAAGCCTGCGAAAAATTACCGCAACTTTGTGAAAATTTGATTAGAGGAGTTGCTACTTATGTTTTGGACAGTGCAAAACGATGTGCAATTTTAGGCGAATTTCAAGATTTTTTTAATGTCGAGAGAAATAAGATTTTAAAATTATGTAATACTAGATGGCTAATTTTACATAAATGTGTCGTAAGATTACTTCATAACTGGGATGTGCTTAAAAGTTATTTTACTTTAGCAGCCGTAGAAGCAGCTGATCAGTCGAAATCCGCGGATGATATTTTAACATTATTGAATGATAATGCTATTAAAGCTTATCTTTTATTTCTAAAATATTCGTTAAATTATTTTAATAACTTCAATGCTTTATTCTAATCGCGTAAAATTTTAATTCACAAGTTGTATATTAATAGTAACCAGTTAATTAGTCAAATCGCTCAAAACTTTATTATTCCCGAGGTTTTAAATAACATCGCTACTTTAAACGTAGACGATGAACAAAATATTAAACATTTGACCGATATACAGGGTGTCTGATGCAAAAGTAGCCAACTTGAAAATAGTGGTAGATTGTGTTAAAATAAGGAGAAATGTCATGTGCCGCGGTACAAAAGTAACAATAGTTATCGAGTAATTAATTTACACGTTTGAGCGAATGAGGATGCAGAATACGGTAGGCCGGACTCGGAAGGCATTTAAGAAAATCGATCGATGAGCGTGGAGGTGGAGCGACGCGTGAGATACACTGTGGTGGGAAAAAACCTAGGCGCGGCGGGAAGCGCGGCGCGGGCGGCGAGCGCAGCAGCGAGCGCGAGCGACGGGCGACCCGAAACATAAACATAGTATCTCGCATGTCGCTCCACCTCCCGCTCGTCGATCGATTTTCTTAAATGCCTTCCGAGTCCGGCCTACCGTATTCTGCATCCTCATTCGCTCAGACATGTAAATTAATTACTCGATAACTATTGTTACTTTTGTACCGCGGCACATGATATTTCTGCTTAGTTTAACCCAATCTACCACTATTTTCAAGTTGGCTACTTTTGCATCAGACACCCTGTATATGTATATAGGACCAGAGTGTGGAAGCTGGTAAATGTGCATAAAAAGACCCCACCTTCCGATGACCTTGACCTTGACATATGTTGTCAAGGACACCCTCCTGAGTAACTCTTAGAAGTTTTTAGCCGGCGGTCGTTATTCGTTAGAAAGTTATTAACAAAACAGTGTCGACCAATTATATGTAATTTTCAGACACAAATATTAAAAATTTTGAAAAATGTTTTAAACAAAAGTTGTAGATCTCTTTGAAATATACATTTTATATCCTATTTATTTTTACTGTGCGAGTAATAGTTTTCGAGGTAATTATGCATAAAAGCGACTACCTCTCCGATTTGTTTTATTTTTAAATATGTTGTTGGGGATGTCTTCCCGAGTCATTTCATATATATAT